GTCCAACAGATCAGCAGGGGAGTCTACCTCAAGCATAGCGACTCGATCTATGATCCGGGTATGTATGTGGGGGGATTTAAATTAACTATCAGATGACCCGTGCGTATGAAATTTCCATAAATTCAAAACAAAAAGTGTGAGTGCGTGGTATTGTGCGTGGGAGATATATATCAATAGAAGCAACTGTTGACGTACATCCTAAACATCGCGTTATCAAGAATAGGGGGAAAGGCAGCTATTTCATAAGTTCGGTATGTGTGATAGGTGGTGGGGAGAGAATAAGGAGGATATATATTTTTTTATGACATCCTGGGTATTCAGCGCAATGACTCATAAGACGTTAATCATTATTAGTATTAGGCTAAGAGTGCTCGGTCAACGACTGTCGTGAAGTGATCTAGCAGGGTGGAATATATTAGGATCTTTTTCTTGGGCTATGCGTCGACGGGGTGTAAGGTAATGATCAGAAGGTGAGGCAGGGTTTCGATATAATTTTGTTAGGTCACATCGTGGCAGTGGTGGATTGTGCATGTGTGCGTGTAGATGCATGCAGGTGGAGGAGCGGGGTAGACAGGTGTGTTGTCATGGTCTTAAAAGGAGAGGCAGGGTGAATGCTGGTGATGGTGAGCTTCTGTATGATATTGCGCGGTGGCAGGGTGTAGAGCAAAAGGGTAGTAGGGGGAGGGGGGAACGGGGGGGGGGGGGGGGGGGGGGGGGGTGGGGGGAGGGGGAGGAAGGAGAATTAGCACAAACCCAACGCATAGTGATGGTTAGATGGGCGGCTAGATTGGGCATGCATGGTCTTGTCAGCAGGGGAGTCTACCCCTGCTTAGCGACGGGATCAGAGATCCGGGTATGTGTGTGGGGGGGTTGTGTACGCAACACGGCTATCCCATTTGCATGGGAAACAAAACACAACACATCACAATCAAGAGCGTCCCGTCAGAAAATAATTAGATAGCCATTTTGGCTATGTTATAAAAATATTCAGAATATGCGGGTGTACCGGTCTGCAGCTGCGGCAGCAAAAAATTTTGTTCCCTGGCGTACTGCATCAGGGGTGATATCCAGTAATCGGTTCGTGTATGTAGTGCAGGTATATATTGGAAAAAAAACAGGATTTTGCGGTGTGCATGTATATATATATATATATATATATATATATATATATATGTATATTTGTGACGATATATATCTGTCTCTTATACACATCTAGATGTGTATAAGAGACAGATGCCCGTTCCCATCATCATCTGACCCTCTCACAAGGGAACTTATATTCATATGTATATTTGTGACGATATATATATATATATATGTCTGTCTCTTATACACATCTAGATGTGTATAAGAGACAGGGCCAGCCCGGGGGCCCCCGAACGCTCGGTCAGGTAACCCTATATATATATATATATATCGTGTCACAAACAGAACTGCCCGGTAAACCGTAGGTAGAGAGAGAGAAGAGGACAACAAACGAGGGGTTGTGACAAACTGTTTCGTCGGAGTTTCACCGACTAATCTATATATATATTATCTCTTTTGAGCGAGGAGTGGTGGTTCCCGGGTTTTAAAAAGAACAAATTATTGATTTTTATTTTTCTTAAACTTTTTCTTTTTATTGTAAAAAATTATTTTCGATTCTATTTATTTATTTATTGTATATATATATTTTTATGTTATTAAAAAAGTTTCATTATATTATTTTAATTTTAAATTTTATTTTTATTTATATATATATATATAAAAAAGGCTCTTTTTAAAAAAATTATATAATTACTTTGTTGTTAAAAAAATATTATTATTATGTATGATGATTATTTAAAAGTTATTATGTGTGTGTGTGTGGGTGTGGGTGTGTGTGCGCGCGCGTGTGCGGGAGCTGCGCGGACAGCTGCACGGAGAGCTGCACGG